AAATCTGTATCCAGTCCAATGACTGGGTCATTTTCGAGGCTGCCCATATCTTTCCTCTCCAACACGAAAGCCATTGGATCCAAAATGATTATGGGTGGTGGATCACAGACATGGACGATGCTGTTGGATCCTCCAAGATCAACTCACGTCAAAACAGATTTCTTTTCCAGAAAGATGTGTACGCATTGATCGATCGATACCTCATCTCCATTAACCCAGGCAATGGCTATAAGGTAGTTGTATTTGCCCACAATTTTGGTGGCTATGATGGTAGAACCCTTGATCCCGTGTGCCGAAATCCCGATGATCTACACTGCGTGTCCGACCACCTCCTAAGATGGCATTTCCGCCAATGTGTCCTTGCGAATATCAAAGGAGCAGAGGAATAGATCTTCGATCACAACTTCCCACCCGGGACCGATAGTATGGGTGAGGTCCACATGCACCAGAGAGCTTCGGGTTGGAGATAGCGGCTGGGTTGCGAGTGGTTTCCTAAGGGCAACTACTTGAATCTAAGAAAGCTTAGTCTAACTTAAGGGAATAGAAAGAATGCTTTATAGTTTAGCTATCATTGTGGGGTGTGATGGTACAATCTTCGTGGCAAGAGAAATGGACCCTCTACTACCACTTAGCTATGCATGTAAACCCCTTACGAGCCCCTAAAACTGCCTAACTGGCAAACCCGAGGCAGGTGAAGGGATTCCTTTCTTGGTAGTTCTACCTCACCAGCTGGAAGGAAGAAATACATTTACCATAAATAACTCGGCCGTCCTTAGAGAGTATACGAAACTAGCACAACACAAGTGATAACCCACCACTCCAGGGTGTAGGAAAATGGGTAATGAAGATTTGATTGTCAACCACATAAATTTAGTGAGCCACATTCCCCAGGCTTTCCCTTACTCGAGTACTCTTGAAATCCATTATCAGATCATCAGCGGAAATCCTCACGGCAGTCCACAATAGGTTTAATTTGACTAGCTAACAGAATTGTGAATATAGGTTAATGGGATGAAACAAGTCAAATGGGCCAATACTATGATATATCGGGAAAACGCCAACCCTTCTCAGGAGGTTTGGTCTCACAATCCGGAGATTTTATAGTGATTAGAGATAAATTTAGGTACTAAGATGTGATGGGCGGTGAATTTCATTGGCTAGAAAGTAGGGAGGCCAGGTAACGGTAGCAGCCACTGATATTTATCATTGTGCCACTCTACTTCTTTCAAACAACCAAGCTTGCCATACCGGTATCACACCCCACCATCCCTTGAGCTCCGCAAAACTTTATCTCACCCACCTTGCCTATTCTAAGAGGTATTCTAAGAGGTAATTAGCAACATACGCCACTGAAATTTCATGAGCTTTTTTCCTACGCCAGTTCTCAGGTCACTCCAGCGATTACATTTACGACAATTACCAATACCAACAATGTCTTTAAATCTGTTACACATAGAAGCGTAATCGGTGCGGCACGTAACTAAATGCATAAAGGTCACGTGTTCGACTCCGGGCCCCGCCACAGTATTCGTAGCGCTAAGATATTAGCACCCGATAAGGCATCTATGCAGCCCGCTCCGCAGAGATACGAGGCATGCGACCGAGGGGCTTTCGCTGGATAACATAGAAGGAGCTCCGCACTACAAGATAAAACTTAGTTGGTTCAGATTGGTCGGTTAGTTATAGAACTACGACCTCTGCAAGTCTATATGCAATTACAAGAAGTAATATGCATGTCCCTTCAGCTCGTGTAAGCTAGAGTCATCCGGAAGACCTAATAGCCGGTTACCCTCCTATTCGCTTCGCTTATAGTCGGAAAAACCAAGTGTTACGCAAAAGCAAGTGTTACGCACCGCTTTTTTTTTTCTTTTTTTTTTTTTTCAGGAAACACTGTTTAGTACATCAATCCAGACAAACCCACAACTACTCAAGCTTCTCTCCAGCAATCTCAGTTAACTATGCCATTCTCAGTAAAGCTGATCCTCTTTCAGGTAGCAGATATAAAAATGGCTCGAAAAAATATTCAAATTGCGGTTAATAAGGCTAAAGCAGTCTTAAACTGCTGTGAAATTGATGGGCGAAAGGCTGAGAAGGAAAGGAAGAAGTGCATGTGGGCCCTTGAGGCTCAAGGTAACCA